TGGATGGATGGATCGATGGATGGATGGGTGGATGGATGGGTGGGTGGGTGGATGGATGGATGGATGGATTCTAAGAGCCGTGAGAGCCCCCAGTAAAATGATGTATTAAAATTTAAAAACAAAACAAAAATAAACCCAAGAAAACGCCAAAAAAAGAGAAAGTTAGAGTCTTGGAAACCCCCTGAGGCAGTTCTACTCCGCCCTGTCCACTCATGAGGAGCCGGAATCACCGGTTGGCCGGGCGTCTCAGGGTTTTTGGCCCGCTGGTGGGGGGCACAGAGCTGATGTGCTTTGATGCTAAGCGGAAGGGGAGCAGTTCAAACCCCCCAGCTGCTCCGTGGAGAGAGGAGGCAGCCCACTCCCACCGGGATGCCAACCTGGGGAACCTGCGAAGCAGGCCCACTGTGTCTTGCAGGGAGGACCACCCTGAGGTGGGGGGTGGGGGGTGGCGGTGGGGGTGCAGGGGCTTGCTTTGGGCTGAGGAATGCCTGCCAGGCCTCAGGTTGCCCGTGGTCGATGCTTCCCCTGATTTCAGCCAAGCTCTGTGTGGAGCCTAGGCTTACCCTCGCCCCATGGGGCAAGGGGCAGGCCGCTGAAAGAGAACAGAGACTTGGCTGCAGTTACACAGCTTGTAGCCCGTGGGGGGGGGGGCACTTCCTCTCCGCTCCCTGTGTGTCACACAGGGACCATCTTCCTGTGGCTCTTCTGGCCGAGCTTCAACTCTGCGCCCACCACCCTGGGAGACGGGCAGCACCGGACAGCCCTCAACACCTACTACTCCCTGACCGCGAGCACCCTCAGCACCTTTGCCCTGTCTGCCCTCGTTGGCGACAACGGGCGGCTGGACATGGTATGGAGACGGCACCTTGGGAGAGGGGTAGCTTGGGGGGACCAGGGAGGGAGATCTAAGGTTCTTCAAGGGAGGTTCTCCAGTGGGCAGGGCAGGGCAGGGCGTGAGGGCTCCCCCTGGCCGGGTGGGGGCAACAGCATGGGAGGGTCAGCGGGTAGGGAGCAGAAAGGAGGTCCTGCGGCGTGGGAGGATGGGGCTGGTCTGGGATGGGGGCAATGATCTGAAAAGGCTTCCCCTGACCTGCTCTCTTCCCTGCACCCTTAGGTCCACGTCCAGAATGCAGCACTGGCTGGAGGGGTGGTGGTGGGGACAGCAAGTGAAATGCTGCTGACACCTTTCGGGGCCCTGGCCGCCGGTTTCCTGGCTGGGACTGTCTCTACGCTGGGGTACAAGTTCTTCACGGTAGAGCTGCCTCTGGGGTCCTGGGGATCATGGGGAGGCTTCGACACCCTGCCTTCCCCTCTCGGGGGTGGGGCCGGGATAGGGGTGGGAGGGGACACTCGAGGTTCATCATGGGTGCCCCACTCTCCAGCCCATCCTCGAGTCAAAATTCAAAATCCAAGACACTTGCGGAGTACACAACCTGCACGGGATGCCGGGGATCCTGGGGGCCCTCCTGGGGGTCCTCGTGACTGCACTGGCCACCCACGATGCTTATGGAGACGGGTGAGTTTCCCTGGTCCTCTCTGGAGTCATCATGACCCCTTTGAATGACCCTTCTCCCCCGCCTCCACTGCTTGTCCAAAATCAAACTCCTATTGTTGAGTCCAGGCCGACTCCTAGCTGCCCTAGAGGACAGGGTAGAACCGCTCCTGTGAGACTGTCACTCTTTAGAAGAGTAGAAAGTCTGCTCTCTCTCCCAGGGAGTGGCTGGTGATTTCGAACTGCCGACCTTGCAGTTAGCAGCCCAACGCATAACCACTGCACACAGCCTCCTTTATCACTCCCCCCCTCCCTCACTCATCTGTGTGCAGAAAATTGGGATGAGCCAGGTTGACCCAGGGACTACCTCCCGCCCTCAGGCAGTGGAACCGAAGGCCACTGGACAAATCATGGCAAGGATGTTTGCGCGCTTTTAAAGGGGCCGCAAGAGATCAGGCCCCTGAGCATCTCGTTTTTCACACCAGGGCTCAGAGGGAGGACAAGGGTGGGCAAGAGGACCCTTACACTGAGTCTCAAAAGTTGCAGGCTGGGGGTAGAGGGGGCTGGCTTCGGCAAGGGCCAGAGGGGAGACTCGGCCTGGCAGTGTGCCCACTGCATGAGGACCAGCCCTGAGCCCGGCCCCCGCCCCCCTTCTCCCCAAAGCCTGGAGAGCGTGTTTCCACTCATTGCCCAGGGCCAGCGCAGCGCCACCTCTCAGGCTGTGCACCAGCTCGGCGGACTGCTTGTCACCCTGATGTTTGCTTCTGTGGGTGCGGGGCTTGGAGGTGAGTGAGCTTGTTGGTTGGGTGGGGGCTGACAGAGCCCCGGGGAGGGGGCTAGACAGAAGAGTTGTTATTTCCCCTTTCAGTCACTCGCATAAAAAAATCACAAAACCCAAGCTCACTGCCTTGGGGCCTATGCCAGCCCCTCCGGCCCTCAGGGACAGGGTCAAACTGCTCCTGTGAGGTCCCCAGACTGCAACTCTCGATGTGAGCGGAACGCCCCCTCTTTCTCCTGGGGGGCGGCTGGTGGCTTAAACTGCTGACCTGCGGTTAGCAGCCCAACCCGTACCCACCAGGCGCCCACCATCAGCAAGGAGTTCAAAAAGTTCATGAACAAAATGGAAGGGAAAGATCATGAAAACTTCCACGAACTTTCTAGAGCCCCTCAGACTTGTGCGAGATGAGGGGTGGGGTTCAGGAGCAACCTCCAGGTGAGGAGGGGGAGCCAGAGGGAGCTCATATTCTCCAAATGCCACAGGGAAGCCAGTCTGGCCCTGTGGCCCTTGTACTCCCCCCATGAGCCACTAGAGGGCAGCACAACCTCAGGCTGAGGCCTGCACTGGCCAGCAGGGCCAGGAGGAGATGGACGGGGCCACCTCGCCTTTAGACAGTGGATCAACACCTTCTACAGAGGCAGCTTGTCCCTGGTCCCTGGTCAGGCAGTCCTCCATGGTATCTAGCTTGTATCCTTCTGGGCTTCAAGAAGAAAAGCTGTGGCCCCGTTTCTACGGCATGGCATGTCCACCTCGAGATGTTCATCCCCTCTCCAGGGCTCACTTACTTCATCATTCGCTTACTCACACATTCAGCACACGTTGTTTTCTGTTCCTCCTCCCCCGCCCCGAGAGTCCGGCAGCTGTCAGTTCACATGGTGAGCTGGGGCCAGTTTCCCGTCTCTGAGCCTCGAGGCAGAGATACGACTGGCCGGCAAGGTTGGCGTGGCCTCTCCGGCAGACCGTGCAGGGTTCAGCAGCCAGCGATCTGAGGGGGCTTCCAGACCCTAGAGGTGAAATGGATAAGGGATTTTCCCACAAGCTTGGAAACTCCCTCCAACAGTGGTGGTTTGCTTGGCCAGGCACTGGGTCGACCTCACACCCCCCAGGCCCTCGGTGCTCGAGGTGCTGGGCAGCACTGCCAAGCCTCGCCCATCTCCCTTGCAGGGCTCCTGCTGAAGCTGCCCTTCCTGGACTCCCCCTCAGACTCCCAGTGCTTTGATGACCAGCTTTACTGGGAGGTGAGACTTGGCCGAAGCCCTTCTTGCTCCCCCTTGAGACCACCCTGCCTGCGTCACCTCCTTCCTTCCTGTCTATACATTCTCCTTCGGGCCACACCCCTGCGGTGTTGCCTCTTGAGGCTCCCTGGAATTGTCCCTTCACTGGCACGGCCATCTTGCCTTCCAGGTGCCTGAGGAACATGAGGATGAAGCCCACGGACCTCTGAGGACCGAGGAACCTGACACTCAGGCCTAGCCTGCTGCCAGCCCAAGAGGACACACTCCTGTCAGGAGACCAGGAGACATGGGGCAGCTCTTCTTTGCTACCTCCCACCACTCCCGCTGCAGAAAGGACAGGAGCCAAAGGGAGCCCGCTTTCCCTGGGCTGTGTGGGAGGAGGAGCAGGAGGAGGCCGGGAGGTGGGGGCTGTCACTGGGTGTGGTGGGACGGTCTCACCAGTGGACCACATCCCTACAGTCTGCAAGTGTGGGACAAAGGGCCAAGAGTGGGGCACCCAAATGCCTCTCTCCCTGAGGAAAGCTCCTCCAGAGGTACCTGAGAGGCTGAGCCACTGGCCCAGGCACACAGCGGCAGGGAAGTCAGAGCCAAGGCCTGGCTCCCTGAGGGTGATAAACACTGCCATCTTCCTGAGGGACTCGGCCTCTCCTTTCGTGCCCTGCAAATGTAGGCGTTCCTCCTGTCCTCTGATCCGGTGTGAGGCTCTCGGGGTGGCAAAGGACCTTGCTGGTGACTTTCTACCTCCCAAGTTGTGTGGCACACACTCTAGGAGTCTAGAATTTGCTGGGTAGCTTGTTTGCCTCCCCGGGGACGGGGAGCTCACTCCCTCCTGGAAAGGAGGGTTCGCACAGTGCCAAAACTGCTGCTACTCTGGTTCTCGGCTTGGTTAGCATCCGGGGCGGTAGGGACATCTTGTTTGTCACCAGCCCTTCAGAAGCCCTTCACATTCCCTAGCAGCCCTCACACAGGCTCCAGTGTGGACCGAGACTGGGGAGGAAGTAGTATTGAGGGAGGAGAGGTGTATGGAGACCCAGGTCCGTCTGACCCAGAAGCTTGGGGAAGGATGGCCCGGGGCTTGCGTCGACTTGCGGCTGTGCTGACCACCAGAGGGCGCTCCACACTCAGTAGAGGAATGCCTAGCCTTCCTGCGCCCCACTGTCCTCTGCCAAGGATGGAAGTCCTTCCTGTAGCCGGACCCCCTTACGGTCTGCTGCAGGTCCTGCGCGTTTGTGCCACAAGCCTTTCTTGAGATCTCATCTCTACTACAAGCCAGGCAGGTGCTAGGGGTTTCAGAGTTCACCGAACAGAGTTTATCTGGCCAATAGACTGGAGCCCCCTTCCAGCCCCTGCAACAACGGCCCCCCAGCGCCCTTTCTTGTCCTTCCCCGGATTTCTAGCTGGAGTTGAGCATGAATACACACCCCCCCAGCCCCAGATCCATGCAGACTAGGAACACAAGGAGGAAATGGAAGGGTTCCTGGAGCCTGGCCCTTGCACGGGGGCAAGCTGCTCTGAAGCACCATCTTCAAGGTAGCTGAGAGTCTGAGCTCTCCCTGTCCACATGGCCTGATTCTCCCTCCACAACTCGACTCTCTTCCTCCCTCCATAACCTGTGCTGTCCATTGCCCTGTGAGATCGGCATGTTGTGGGGAGAGCCCTGAGAGGACATTGCAAAGAGGTTCTTGGTCCCTGGCAGCCCCCTGGGGGGAAAGAAAGCCCCATTCTACCCCATAGGGTCTCAGCTCCCAGCCTGGCACAGGTCCAGGTACAAGTTCAGCCAGGTGACCTCCCTCCAACCCAGAGAGCCCTAGCAAACCTGTACAAAGATCCAGAAGAAGACTTGGGGAATGAGAACATTCAGGAATGAGGTGAGACATTCCCTAGCCTAGTCCATTTGGGGTTGAGGAAAGCTATGAACTGATAGATATTCATTTATGACAACATTTTGGGAGCTCACCCACTCCCTCTTCTTGGGTCCCTCTGAGCTGAGGCTGTAGTACTGCCTCAAAACCAAACAGAAACAAACCCACTGCCACAGCGGCAGGTCTATCCCAAATCAGGGACCCTGAAACATGGAATAGAACTGCCCCAGAGGGTTTCGGGGACTCGATCTCTAAGGAAGCAGAGAGCCTCATCGTCCTCCCGTGGCCTGGCTGGTGGGCTCGAACCACCAACCTTGCAGTTAGCAGCCGAGTACTTTAGCCACTTGGAGACCAGGGCTCCTTTCTTTTCCAGGCCTGAGAACCTGGGCAGCTCCCGCCCCGCCTGTCGGTGTGGAACCTCGCTAGGAGGTTGCTAGGGAATGGACCATCCAGTCCTCTCTGACCAGCAGCGGCTTGCCCTGATGATGCCCAGGGCGTCCAGGTAGCACTGCGCTCCACAGGCTCTCAACAGCCGGGTTTCCCGAAGAATGCCAAGCCTGCCTTTGTAGGCACCTCTGAGTGGACTGGAAGCTCCAAGCTTTTAGTTAATGTTAAGAGTCCGTCGCCCCCCCCTCTCCCCACCCCTAACTCCCAAGCCCTCTCTGATTGTCCAGCAGCCTTCTGATTGTTTCCTCCCCTCCTCTCCTGTCTAGCCCGTGGTGGTGGTCTGTACTCGTGGTCTGTACTCGTGGTCTGGGCAGGCAGTGAGAGTGAGCCCATTATAACTGACTTGTGGGGGGCAGGTAGCCTTGGCATCCCTCCCCCACCTCCCCTGCATCCCTGGGCTCAGCACCACTAGTTCCCCACAGGGTGGCCTGTCCATTCAGGCTGGGTCAACAGGGTGACAATGAGCAGGTCAAGAAGATGGCAGGGCCAGGGGCCAGGGGCCGCTCCTGCCTCAGCCTTCAGGACAATGCGGCCTCTGCCTCCCAGGGACAGCCCCTCTGATCACCGCCATTATTGCTCGCAGGGCAGGACAATCGGACACTTGCCCGCTCATGAACTCTGTCTGTCCAACCCCAATGGCTGGACGCTCGGGACCCTGCTGATTGAGTTGCAGGCGCCGCTGGGGTCAGGGCAGAGGCCAGCGAGCCTGCAGCTTGGAGGGAAGCCGCCCCTCACCCCCTTCCAAGCCGCCACTGGCTTGGCACAGTGGGTGGGTGGGTAGCACGGAGCTTCCTGTCCATGGGCACCTGGATGGCAAATGACACCCCCCGCCCCCCAGGGGCCTCAGGGTCGCGGCTGGGCTTGCGTGGCCTAAGCCCAGAGCTGGGAGCCGTTCCCCTGACCTCGGGAGGACCCGGGCGCTGCGAACCGCGCAGCCTGGGAAAGGCCTCCGCGCCCCGCCTATTGGGATTCACATCACGGCGCGCGGTGGCTCCAGCTCCCGGAAGAATTAGACACGGCGTGGGTGTCCAAAGTGGGGGGCGGTGGCCGTCCTGGGGCCTCACCCCAATATTCCTCTCCCACCGTGGGATGGCCCACCCGCCGCCCCGGC